ATATATATATATATGTTTATCATGGGCGATATCTTAATATTGGGGATGACTATCATAATATATCATACACGTAGGAAAAATATACTGAGACATAAAGATTAAAAAACATTCATTTCAAAATTTAGACATTATTTTCAACATATTATTCTTCATTTTCTCTTATATAATGTTTTACATTCGCTAAATATTTCAGAAACAAAGTCTGCATTAATCTATATATATATATATATATATATATATATATATATATATATATATATATATATATATATATAACCCAATGGCTAAATATAGGTGGATGTACGAGCCAGCGATCGTATACAAATACATGAAATACGCTTATATACTTATATATATATATAAACAATTCACGAAATACACAAAATACCTTACACTGTTCGCACATTGTTTTCTATAACCCTTAACACATATATTGGAAGTACTATGAATACATTTAAAGAAAGTTGGCGTGGACATGTGCAATTTATCACTAGTAGTATAAGACTTCATTATCCAAGTATTTTTGGATTGTAAAGGAGAAAAACAAGACACCTACAGTTAAATAGAAATTAATCAAGGGCTCGAACATGTAATTCTCAATATGCCCCTTGTTAGTTATGTCTTAACGAAAAATTTGAAATCATTAGATTTAAGGACAAGACCCATCTATTAAATAAAAAAAATTACTCAGTGTTAGCTGTAAACATAGCTATAAATTTAACTTACTCTACGGGTGGTAATATTTTTTACGATAAGACTAAGTTACTGTAAGTTATTACTTCTAATATCTGACAATCTTACTATCGATGTAAATATATTTAGCTATATGTATATTGTGTTGTTGGTGTCTCATGTATATTTTATTGATATATATATATATATATATATATATATATATATATATATATATATATATATATATATATATATATATATATATATATATATATGTGAATTTATATATATATATATATATATATGAATATATATATATATGTGAATTTATATATATATATATATGTGAATTTTATATATATATATATATATATATATATATATATGTGAATTTATATATATATATATGTGAATTTATATATATATATATATATGTGAATTTATATATATATATATATATATTGAATTTATATATATATATATATGTGAATTTATATATATATATATGTGAATTTATATATATATATATATTATATATATATGTGAATTTATATATATATATATATATGTGTGTGTGTGTGTGTGTGTGGATATTGGTATTTTGTGTATAACTGTGTATGTATGATATATTTATTTCTATATGTGTATGTATGCATATGTGTATGTATATGTATATGTGTATGTATGCATATGTATATATATATATATATATATATATATATATGTATAGGTATGTATATATATATATTGGTATATGTCAATGTATATGTATGTGTGTAGGTATAACTTTGTATGTTTCTATGTGTAGTGATGAAAGTGTGTGCACATACGTATGAATGCATTGTTTCACATATTGTTATATATTTGTACTCGTGTGTGTGTGTGTGTGTGTATATATATATATATATATATATATATATATATATATATATATGTGTGTGTGTGTGTGTGTGTGTGTGTTTTATATATATTAGCTAGTGTAACCTTTAAGTGGTACATTTTACCTGGACATTCGAATTTTCTGTTTTCTTATGTGCGTGGATGCGCATATATTTACTTTTTTTATTCATTTCTATCTATTTTAGGATCTTTTTACGTTGTTCCTTGACGAATATTTGTTTTTCTTTTCTACCAATATTAAATTTTATCTATGGAACCATTTTTCTAGATATCTTTGACCGTGTAGGTTATATTTCAATTGTATTTTTGAATTCGTTTACTAACACTTTCAAATTTGGATATTTCTTGGTGTGCATATGTGCGTGTCTTTATCAATGTATGTGTGCAGTATCGCTTATATGCGCCTTTCATTGTATGTATATGTTATTTTTAGTCGTTGACACCTATATCTTGTTTCGTTTGCTTTTTGCATGTTTATATATATAAATATGTTTACGTGTTTGTGTATTATAATCTGATTGTGTATGTATTGTGTTTTGAAAAATTCCACCCTCCCCCGCACATATTATCAGTTCAAATTTATCTAAGTTGTAACGAAGCTCAGAGCAACATTAGATTTTAACGATTATTCTGAATTTTTGGCCTTTCAATAAAAACAAAATAAATAAGAAATCATATGTATTTTTTCCTCATTTTCTTCTTTATATAAATTTTATAATTTTCTAAACTTAATACAGATTAAATTTAGAATTTAAAATTGGTAATTTTTAATTTTATATTAAAATTTAATATTAATTAGGCTGATTCTTATTTTAGTCTAACTCTAACATTAACCATTAACTATTATAGCCAATGTTCGTTTTGAAGTTTTTTGAATTCTCATATACTTGTACTTTCATTGGTCATTCCTGTTTATGTAACAGCGTTTCCCTTAGTGAGGGGTGTTTGATTGATTTGAACTTTTGTAGATATTTTATAACATATTTATATTATAATTTACGAATAAATAATTATATTTGATCTACTCTGTACTGAGCACTGTAGAGTAGTTTTCATTGAATGGAATTTATTCCGTAGACAACAATCCTATACTTATATATATATATATATATATATATATATATATATATATATATATATATAACACTGACATCTTAATGTAACAGATATATTTACCAACCTTGCACAAAAAAGTATCTTGAAATACTTAAGAGTAAATTTATTCCAAAAAATCGGTAGACGACTTTGGTATCTCCTGCAACTCTTCTGCACAGTTTTATTAAGTTGGTGAATGCTGCCATAATCCTTGCCTTCAGTAGATCTTTAGTGTTACAAGGAATTTTGTTGGTCTCTCGCTCAATTACGACCCACACATAATAATTTAAAGTGTTGCAGTCTGGAGAGTTAGGCTACGTGAATTCAGACGTGATGTGGTCGCAGAAATACTCCGACAGCCATAATTGTGTCCTCCTGCTTGCGTGGCATGGTGTAGAGACCTGTTACCATACTTAGGTTCTTCCAGTAGACTTAAATCACTTAATGTACGCCACTTTGTTGAGTCTGTGTCTTTGTGGATAGATGAATGGAGGCATATCATCGCTAGCATTAGTGAACACTGCAAAACATATTCGTAATCACTAACAGACTCATCTAATTCTTTCCAAATACTCTTCAGATTGACACTCAAATACATTGAAATGTCGCTATTGGAGCTTTCGCCGCGAATACCAAGCACTACGGCATGCCGCTTCTAAGTTTCTGGCGGCGTGAATGTCATGGTGGTCTTTTTCTTACAGACAATGCCCAACTGACCCGACTGTACTGTGCAGTCGACAATATCAAAAATAAACAACGCTCTTGCGCAAAAATAAACATATTACATGAAGGCAATTGACTCATCATCGCACCACACACATATACACACACACACACACCACACACACACACCTCCACCCATAAACACCCCCACATATATATATATATATATATATATATATATATATATATATATATATATATATATATATTCCACATGTCACATCCGAAAAAACGTAAATTATAAATATTTGGACCAACCACATCTTACCCCAGCTACTGATTTTTCGTTTATTTTCGTAATTTTAGTAATCTGTCGGTAAAGGTGATTCCAATACAGGAACATGTGAAACTATGATATCTTTCAATTCAGGACCGTTAACTTAAAAAAATCGCTGTCTGTCAATAGCAGCAGCTCTAACAAACTGAGATGGAATGGTACAAAATATAATAGCACTCTGAAATTATCTCTAGTCTTCCTTCCCTATATGAAGCGATTATCGTAGAAAAAGTATCTGTAGTCCATATAATATCGGGACAACTTTCAAAAGTGGTTGAACAATTCGCAGACTCCGCTTCCAAGTAAGACCGTCCCCATAGAAAAGAATATGTGTCAGGTCTGTCTGTACGAAATCCCGTGCAGCTTTGGTAAAAAATACAAAGAAGAAACAGGCCGTTTCATTAAGGTAAGACTACAAGAACATCGTAAAGCGGTAAGACGAGGGGAAATAGAAACATTACGCGTAGTTGACCAAATATGGAGGGAAAAGGGAGATCACGGCCTCTATGGGACGAGGCTGATATAATAGACACAGAGCATCACTGGAAAATATGAAAATCTCCTGAGACGACCAAGCATAGAAATGAGTACCGTATGGGAACCAGTAATAAGGAGTGCCAGAGCAAAGCAATGAATAACAACAAAAAATTGCAATATACGCTATATATATATATATATATATATATATAATATAAATAATGCAACAATAATAACAGAAAAAGATTGCAATATGAGCAACGGTAAAAATGTCATTTTTTTATAAAACATTACTAAATAAAATGACTACTTAACTATACAATTTTTCATATTCATCTGTGTATGAAAACTTTTCTATTTGCGTATATATGTGTACGTACGTGTTTTGGATGCGTATGCAACAGAAAGGGAGATGATGTACACACACACACACACACACACACACACACACACACACATATATATATATATATATATATATATTTGATATGTATTGAATCAAAATTATTCAATGTTAATGCTAGAATATTTGTGTTCGTGCGTCTTAATATAGGTGCGTATGAATATATATCCATATACATTTATGACTTCCTTAAAAATTAGCTTTTCACACGCACTCACTTTATGTGTTTCCATTTAATCTTAATTTGATTCGTTATCAACAGCTTTTGAAAGGGTTCAATAAATTTTGACAAGACATTCTATTTGCTAACATTTTTATGGCACAAACGTTTATTGTTCTTGGGATTCGAGGTTTTCTCTATTTTTCTTGTTCGACTCAAACGAATAAAAAGGAACGTCATTAAACGACATGTACTTCAGACATAAAAGCTTTGCCGGCAATAGTAGACGTATGTTTTTTCCTATGTTCCGAAATATCCACTTAAGTGTACATAAATGTCTCGAGTTTAACACAGTGTTGGAGTAAATACTAAAGTTCTCAGATTAGTTTATCTTTGATAAGGACTGACATAGATCTTTGTTGTCATCCATTTCGAAATGTGGCTTGGCGTCAATATGTTCAATTCATATTGTACATTTCGGACATAATCGCTGTACAATCCTTTAGGTCTTTTTCTATCTATCTATCTATCTATCTATCTATCTATCTATCTATCTATCTATCTATCTATCTCATAATGCTCATATATCTATCTATCTATCTATCTATCTATCTATCTATCTATCTATCTATCTCTCTATCTGCATACATACGCCTATGTTCATATTTCTTGCTTACGTATTTATTATTTTATTACATATTAATTATTTCTCGGACTCTCTGTTTTCAACGCAAATTATAAAACACATACACACACATGTATGTGTGCGTGTGCATGTGTGTGTGCATGTGTGTGTGTGTGTTTCCTGTGTGTGTTCGCACGCGCGTATGTTTTATGTATAGTAGGCCGATGAATGAAATTTGAAAAGAAATATTTATAATAATAATAATAATAATAATAATAATAAAAACTTGAAACCAAGACCAAAAAGATTGGCGAGCAAGACCAGAAAAATGCTTACACATTAAAATGGTGGACACCAAGATTAGACAAATGCTTACACATTAAAAGATTCGGCAACAAGTCCAGAAAAATCCTTAAACAAATGAGGATGCACCACCCGAAATCAAATGTTGATAGGTTGTACTTACCAAAAGCTTTAGTTGGTGGAGGTCTAATCCAACTTGAACGAACTCTAAAATCTCCAACAATCGGATTGGAAACATATCTCACAAAAACCAATGGCACTCTCCTACAAATAGTAAAACAAAAAAAACAAATCCATTCCATCAGCAAAGAAGCTGCACTCTTCAAGAAACAGCTTAATACACCTGAAGCGAATACCATCTACGCCAAACGAGTAAAACCGAAAGCAAAACAAATTATTCAAATGAAATGCCAAAAAAACCTGGGAGGACAAATTTTTAAAAAAGAACGGAAGAGGCAGATGTTGGCCAACAGAAAACAAATCAGAGGCTTACGACCACCGGATTAAAGGACTAATTATTGCAGCAGAAAGCCTAATTATTGCAGCTCAGGACCAAGGCCTCGCAACAAGAACCTATCACTGTCATATAATCAAGGATGAATCTAACCCGAAATGCAGGATCTGCGGATGATATGATAAAACTGTTGATCATATTATCTCAGGATGCCAGAATTGGCAAAAAAATGCAATACCCACAGACATAACAAAATAGCGAAATATGTGCAGTGGAAGATATGCAAGAAGCACAAAATCGAAATCACTGAGGTATATTATGAGCACCAACCAGACACAATTACCCAAAATAACGATGTAACTATCCTCTGAGACATACCAAATTTAATCTGACATGGAAATAATAGCCAACCTACCTGATATTGCCATAACAGACAAGAATTTCAGGAAGTGTATGCTTACTGACATAACAGTAACACCAGAGAGAAATACCTCCATGAAAATTATCGACAAATTGTCGAAATACAAGAACCTGGAGATCAAGATTAACAGGAAGTGGGCAATGAAGACTAAGACTTTACCAATAGTAATCGAGGCTCTGGACCTCGAAAGAAAAGGAATGGAAAAAATTACTAACAGTGTCCCAGATAACAACAACATACAGAAGATCGACTGCCCAGAGCAACGCCCTAATAATAATAATAATAATAATAATAATAATAATAATAATAATAATAATAGTAATAATAATAATAATAATAATAGTAATAATAATAATAATAATAATAATAGTAATAATAATAATAATAATAGTAATAATAATAATAATAATAATAGTAATAATAATAAGAAGTAATAATAATGTAAGAAGGGACATCATGCGAAATAACCGATTGACAGAGGCTGAAATTAATGAAATAAAAAGAATTGCAACAAGAATAGATGAACCAACAAAACATGAAAAGGAACCGGAATCGGGAAAAAAAAGTAGTAACATCACACAAGCCTCAGGTCATAATGAAAAACCGAAATACACAAATCACTGTGAAGATAATGCTGAAAATTTAGAAATGTTGGAAAGGTATGATCTTAGTCAGTCACAAGACGGTAATAAAACGAGTTCAAAATTCATCGAACAGAATTATTTCACAGAAAACAAGATTAATATACAAGAAGCCAAGGATGAAATCATGAGCCATATAAGTCAGATACAGAATATTGCAATGGAGGAACGAGAACAACTCCCAAAATTACAACCAACAAAGCATAACCTCAAAACTATTAAGCTCTATAATGCAGCACTCAAATTGATTCTGGATGAAGAAGACACTCATATAAATCTCAATGAAGCAATATATGCATCAGCAATAGCAGCAACAAATAAACTGAACATCAAAAGTAAAAAAAAAGGCAGTCTCACAGACATGAAGATCCACCTTGGAAAAGAAAAAATAGAAAAAGAAATTGAACACCTTAGAAGTGAATTATCAGTACTCGATGAACTAGCAAGAGGGTAAATGTAAGAACTAGAAAAGGCAGAAGAGTCGAAAGAAAATACAATATCAGGAATGAAAAATGAAGTCCTATCAACTAAAGAAAAAAATAAAGCAAACAATACAACTGAAGGCTCAAAGAATAAGACGCTACGAGAAAAGATCAAGATTCTATAGACAGAACAAGATCTTTCAAACCGATGCAAAGAAATTTTACAGGGAAATAGGTAAACAAAGAATTGAAGTGACAGTCCCCCTAAAATGGAAGAAGTTATACAGTTCTGGGGGAAAAAATATGGGCTTGCTCTAATTAACACAACGAAGAGGCAGATTGGATTGCGCAAGAGTTAGAACGAATGAAAAATAAACCAGAACAGACATGGGCGGGAATCACAGAAGAAGATGTTAAATGTGCACTGAAAAAAAGCACACAACTGGAAATCTCCGGGAATAGATAAAATTCTAACTTCTGGCTATATTATTTAAATACAGCACACAAAAAACTCGCCAAAGAACTTCAAGAAATGGTTACCGATCCAACTAAAATTCCTGCATGGATGACCAAAGGAGTTACCTTTCTTCTACCCAAAAATAGTGACACAAATATTCCGAAAAACTATAGACCAATTACATGTCTTCCAACAACATACAAACTGTTAACATCTATTTTAACAAAACAGACATATTTCTTCTTGGAAAGAAATGACATACTACCACTTGAACAAAAAGGGTGCAAACGAGGCTGCTACGGATGTAAAGACCAATTACTTATTAATAGGATGATCCTGGAAAACTGCTTCCGTGAAAAAAAAATCTTAGTATTGCCTGGATAGATTATCGTAAAGCATTCGATAGTGTACCACATTCCTGGATCTTAAAGTCTTTAAGTATGTACAAGGTATCACCCGTTATCATCAATTTCATCAAACAATGTATGTCGATATGGAAAACTACACTTTACCTCAATCATAAAAATGGAACCTATAAGTCTGGCGAAATAAACATCAATAGAGGAATATTTCAAGGTGACTCTTTGTCTCCTTTATTATTTTGCATATCACTTATAGCATTAACCAGCCAACTTAACAAGACAGAATGCGGTTACAAAATAGCTCAAAGAAAATAAACCATCTATTTTACATGGATGACTTAAAATTGTATGCTAGAAATGACAATGAGCTGGAAGGTCTTCTGCAAACTGTAAAATGCTTCAGTGAAGACATCGGAATGAAATTCAATTTGGATAAATGTGCTAAAGCTACAGTTTTACGAGGATCGCTACAACAAACTTCCTCTATTAGTTTAGACCCTGCTGTAACAATAAAAGATTTAGAACAAGGAGAAGCTTATAAGTACCTAGGTGTAAATGAGAGTGAAGGAATTCACCATAAGAAAATGAAAGAAATAGTTCGTAAAGAGTACTATAGAAGGGTACGATTGGTATTAAAAACTGAATTGAATTCTCAGAACAGAATTATGGCCATTAATAACATAGCCATCCCAGTGGTCCAATATAGTTTCAACATCTTGAACTGGACTCTAAATGACATCAGACAAATGGATTCTAAAACAAGAAAGCTTCTTTCTAAGTATAAGATGCATCATCCAAAGGCTGATGTAGACCGTCTATACATACCCCGTAAAAAGAAGGTGGAAGAGGTCTTATTCAGCTAGAATTGTCATACAAGACAACAACTATTGGCTTACTAACTAACATGGAAACAACAAATGACTGGATGATAAAATTAGTGAAACAACATGAAAACAGAAAGAAAAAAATATTCAATAATAAAAGAAGGCAGTAAATACAAACAACATTTACATTTAGTAGATTCTGTAGTAAATCAAAACAGAAGCCAAGAACCAACTATTGCAGCAAAAGATATGAAAAAAGAAAGCCAAGGATAAAGCCCTTGAACAGATGAAACAACGCTGGCAAGACAAACCTCTGCATGGCCAATATCCAGAACGTGCAAATAAACCCAATGTTGATAAAGTTAATACTCATCGATGGTTACGAGCATCTGGATTAAAGTCTGAAACTGAAGGCTTTATTCTTGCAGCGCAAGACCAGAGTCTTTTCACTAGGAATTTTCAGGCAAATATCATACATAATAATGTGGATCCAAAATGCAGGTTCTGTGACAAATACCAAGAAACAATAGACCATCTAATCTCAGGATGTTCTATACTTGCCCCCAAATGAATATAAAATCGTCACGATAGAGTGGGGCAATACTTACACTGGACAATGTGCAAACACTTTGGAAAATGTGTAAGCAAACACTGGTATGAACATCGGCCAGCGCCGGTTACAGAAATAGAAGATGTCACCATTCTATGGGATTATACCATCCACACAGACAGAAAAATTGAAGCAAATAGGCCGGACATTATTGTCAAAAACCAGAAAGAAAAAACTTGCCTACTAATTGATATGGCTTGTCCAGCGGATTGTAACATAGCAACCAAGGAATTTGAAAAACTATCAAAATACAAAGACCTGGAAATTGAAATAGAAAAAATGTGGAAATTGAAAACAAGAATAATACCAGTGGTAATAGGTGCACTTGGAATTATAAAAAATGGAACAAAACAACACATTGAAAGAATCCTGGAAACCCCAGCTTAAGAGACATACAGAAAATTGTCTTATTAAGTACAGCACACACTAAGGAGAACTTTGTCTATGTAACGCTAGCAACTTCATCGGAGATAAAAAAAAAAAAAAAAATTAACATGAAATGTGGCCATAACAACACACCACGACCTGCCTTAGGTCTTTCCGCAGACTTGGTAGGTA